AAAAGATTTACATAGATTATTGATCATGTATTGGCAAAAATCCCTCAACAAAATCCTTCATCGGCAAAAATCCCTCAACAAAATCCTTCATCGGCAAAAATCCCTCACCCAACAATAGTAAAAATATCGGTTTTGTTATTTATGCTACGTTACTTGTAATTTTCCATTTGTAGTTATAAAACTGGCTTGGCATGGTAGTTTGTATGTCTAAGCTCATATAATTGGAATAAAATTCCTCATTTAATAATATATATGTGGTTATGTAAACAATTTTGGAGTTATTTGGTGTTACTTAAGAACTGAGTTACGGAAGACAAATTTGAAAATACCAATCAATAAAATCAATTTTACTCTGTTTTGCCATATGACTTTGTATTTTTGTATTCTCTTTGCATATTAATAAAATACAGTAAAGGAATTGCATAATTTAATATTACGTATTTTGCAAAAACGTATATCCGTTAGAATATATTTCGTATTTTATTTGTAAATTATGATTTATGCAATAAAAAGAAATCCAAAGTTGGTTAAGATAATTCTTTGAATTTCTTCTATATTATTTTATAATGGATCCACAAAGTTTTGAGCGAATACGTCAAACCTTTATTAATCAAAGAAAAAATTAACATTGTTTAATTGATGAAAATCGATATAACGAGTGTTTAAATGTATTAAAAAAATTCTAACCTGCCACATAATTCAAGTTTTAAGTTTAATTACTAAGGGTAGTGACAGATATTACGTAATATTCTGAGGGGGAGGGGGGTCTTTGATATCTTACGTTGATATATAAATTTATAATAGCCAATCAAATTTCTCTTACGTGGGGGGATGGGGGTAGAGGGTATAGTAAAAAAATATTACGTAATATCTGTCACTACCCTAATGCTTTCAAAATATTTACTATCGGTACGGTTGAGGAGCTTCATTTACTTAAAGAGGGTATGAATAATTTGGAACACAAATTTGTATAATCGAAAAATTTTTATGAAATTGGACAAGAGAAAAGATATTTAATTTTTTATATATTAAATAAAATTGATTTAAAAATTGATACAATTCAATTTTATAAATTCAAATTCGTTATTGTTACAATATATCTCATACATTTAGTTAAAAATGCTGCATTACTTTATAAAAGTTCCATAATATTCCCAATTGTCACCCAAGTAATACTTAAATATTTAATAACAGATTTCTTTATTATAATAGTATATATATTAATTTATTTTTTATAGATCGCTACAATTGATATGACAATGGCACCTGATTGAAAAAACTAAGCGTGAACGAATATTTGAACCTGATGAATTCATAAAATTCACATACCTGATATTGACAAGCCAAAGATGCAGCAAAGATCATTGCCTTGCAAAATTCTTCAGCAAAAGCCTGATCGCAATTGTTATTAGATTGCATGTAAGTTTGGAATCCTTGATAACTGGATCAGTGAGTGAGCTTGAACCATTAGAGACTTCTGATTATCCTGATCTTGATGTGGTTCTCTTGAATAACATAATTTCATTACAGCAAGCTGGATTTAAACAAATCACTTTGTTATAATTTTCGAGTCAAATTAATATTTATAGGGATTTAACACAAGCTTTGAAGTAAACAAGTAAATTATTGAAACTAAATAAATTTTATTAAAATTAATTTTTGTTGAAAAAAAAACTTATAGCAAGAAGCAACTGGTTTTATATAAAAACGAATACAAAAAAACAGTTGCTATGATCGAAAAACCAATTGTAATACTATTAAAGCCTACAGTTGTCGAAAAAATAATTTATCATGCACAAGAAAATGTGGTTATGTATTACAAAATCAATGCAAATTGATAATTTTTCTTTTCTATTTGATGATTTTTTTTTGGTTTTTGCTTGAAATTCATGTAATCAAGGCAGCATTTATGTGTAAAATTAATGTACAAATCTAAAATTTTTAAATTTTGCAATATTATATCAATTGTAAAATAATATGTTGTTTTTAAATTTACGAATGATATGTGTTAATTTCGAAGCGGAACAGCTACAGTTATATATCAAAAAGTAATCATGGCAATTATGTACAAACCTCATTAAGAAAATGGAGCATGTTAAGCAGAATAACATCTCTACTTTCTATATAGAATTTTGGTTCTTTATAACCGAAATATTAATGCAATTAGATTCGCCCTTTTCATAATTAAGAGAGAGCTCTACTGAAACATCAATAAAAAATGTAATCTTAATAATGTCAATTTGAAACCTCTATTGAACATAATTTATCACTATAAAATTGTTATTTATTAATCAATCAAAAAATTTACCACTATCAAACAGCTAATTTAATTTTGACTAGTGCTCTATCACTGAACAAATTAAAACTAGTTTATTTCGATGCTCAGAATTTTCAAATAATTATTCATCGATCCCACACTCTACATAACAGTAATTGTCTCTCATGATTAAATAGATATTTTAGAGTTATAGTTAAACTGAATTTTAAAGAATAATTGATATATCAAATTGACGCACAAATTTATTACAATGTTTATTACGCAAGTCTAATCACATAGTTACTAGATACAGATTTTTCTATTTAGCATTAGAATTTTAGAAATAAAATGAAAATTCTGTTTTTATTTGTATATATTCAACTGCATGTATGTAAATCATAGTCTTTTCTATTATATCTATTATAAGAACTTGTTTTTTGAGTACTGTTTCTCCACAACTATATAAGCAAATTTTTACGGCTGTCCTGCTTGTCTGATTGTAAGTGATGCATCCGAATTGTTATAAATGAATTTTTATAAAATACGCCAAGAATTTGTGTTGGAACAAGAAACAATTTTACAATACAGGTAATAAATAATTAGAGAATTGAATAGACTAAAAATACTATATAGTTATTGGATGCGAAGCATCCAATAACTGAAGTTATTTGGCAGATGATACAATTATATCGTGATCTGCATGATCACGATCTGCATGATCACGATATTATTGTAACACATGACAAATAACGGAAAGTATCTGGGCCAGAATTTGATCGGAAGATGACTGGGCCCCTGCGGGGCCCAGTCATCTTCTGATCAAATTCTGGCTCAGATACGACAGTTATTGGTGCGTAGCATCCAATAACGGTATTATCCAGCAGATTACGACGATCGGGCATGATGTAAAACAAGGGCAAATGACAGATAAGTATATGATTAATATAATCATTTTAAGAATTTTTAAAAAGTTTAATTAAAAGTATATGACATTGTTATTTTGTTTATAAATATTTATCTGATCTAAAATCGAGCATACCTTTCTCTCCTTCTACACGATTTTTTAACAAATGGATACAGCGAAAAACAAATATTACAAACCTACCAGTGCCGAAATCAATGAAATAATCAATAGCACAATTCCCAAAAACACCCAAAAGGCTACAGTAAAATGGGTAAAGATTTTAGAAAACTGGCATCGCAATGTAGGATATGACTATGGAATTGAAACAGTTACAGATAAAGACCGACTCGAATGTGAAATGACTGAATTTATTGTGGGAATTCGACAAGTCAATACAAATAAGGAATATGCACTGTCATCTCTAATTAACTGTATTAAATTGCTTGGCGTTTATATTCTAAAATATCCAGAGGGTACCAAGTCTTTTAATATATCGAATAGAAAGGAATTTGCTCATTTATGGAAGCACTAAATGGGAAAATGAAAAAACTTAAGAAAGAAGGAATAGTATCACGTCACCATGACCATCTTACCGATACTGAATTACAAATGATATTTCAGCATTACACAGTTGCTAACAATACTCCACAAGGTCTACAGTATCAATTTTTTATGTGGTGCTGTTTGCTATTCTAACCTTGTGGTGGCGAACATTACAATATATTAATTGAGCAATTTGAATTTACCTCTAACGGTGGAATCCATTTTAAAAAATATTCCCAAAAAAATGACCAAGGTGGAGTGGATGGAAATTCAAATGCACTTATTATACCCATTTCACCTGATCCTGAAGGTTCGCAAGGTCCTGTTTATGATATCAAACTTTACTTTTCGAAAAGACCGCCAAATTTCAAATGTGCCTTTCTTCACCTAAAAATTGACACAAAAATAAGAAGTAAGTATTGATATATTAATTTAAAAAATAAAAAAAAATAATACTTATTTTTATTTAGATTATTCAAGTGATCCGTGGTATTGTGACACAAGATTAGGTGAAAAATCTTGTAGATCTTTTATGAAAGAAATTTGTAACGCAGTAGGAATTGATACTAAAGATCGTGACATTGTAAATCACTCGGGCCGATCAACACCAATTACTTCCCTTTTTCAAAAGGGTGTCGCAATGGGTACCACTATGTCCATTACTGAACATAAAAGTGAGTCATCCTATCGGATTTATGCTCGACCTTCCAAGCAAAAAGAAGATGCTTTGTCTTTATTAATTAACAGTGTTGGAACTTTGCCAGCTAATTTACAAGAACAAGAAACTTTAACAAAGGTAATAGTAGTCTTTATTTCAAATATGAGTATTTAAGGTTTGACTGATTTTAACTTTAGATTATTATAGAACGATGAGGTTATTAGAAATACAAAACGTGTATGTATACATTCGTTTAATTAGGATTATAAATTATTATTTATTATTATTTTTTTTAGCCCAAGACTTTTTCATCTGATAATTCTAACCTAATGAAGCCATTCCGCCAACCTTTGCGCAAAACTGCTAAAGTAAATCTACCATTGCATATCAATGCTACAAAACAAAATCCTACAATTGGTGGACGCCAAATAATTCGTAAAACTTCCCGTAAAGATAATTCTTATGAATATACACCCGAAGAAAATATTTCTAGTGCTCCGGTTATTAAAAATTATTATATAACTGCTAAGCATGTTAATATAAATTAAATATATATGTAGTTAATACATTTTTATGAAATGTATTTTTTAATGTAAAATTTATAAATTGAAAATTAAAGTGCTTTACATTATACATTATAACTATCGCTTTGTCAAATTACGATACATATGATATGTACATATGTGCGTACGTATGTACGTATGTGAATTGCTTTTTGCCAAATAACTCAATTTTTGCCGAATAACCAAAATAAACTATCAATTTTTGCCGAATAACCAAAATAAACTTTTTTCCTGCCAAATAACCCAAATTATCCGGCAGCTTACTATGATAGTGCTTGCCAAATAACTCGAGTTATTTGGCAGCTTACATAATCACTACCTAAAACTCGAGTCATTTGGCAAGCACAATCGTCGTAAACCACCGGAT